GATGTGTTTGAGCTGTGGTGCTGGAGAAGAGTGTTGAATATACCATGGACTGCTAGGAGAACAAACAGGTTTGTCCTGGAGAGGATGAAGCCAGGCTGCTCCTTGGAGTCAAGGATTCTGAAGCTTCATCTGACATACTTTTGACATGTTGCAAGGAAGGACCATTCATTGGAGAAGGACATCATGTTTGGGAGGGTAGAGGGACAGCGCAGGAGAGGAAGACAGTCAATGAGAAGGATCAATTCAGTGATTGGGGTAGTGGGAGTAGGTGTGTCAGAGACAATGAGATTGGCAATGGATAGAGCAGGGTTTAGGGCTCTTGTACATAGGGTCACTATGAGTCGCAAGTGACTCAACGGCACATAACAACAAATTGTGTGTGTGTGGTGTATGCATCATTAACTAAGAACAGATCCATCGCTGATCCTCCAGCGGGTTTTCAGTGTTTTTAAGTCAGACAGGAGAAAGACCATCCTTTTCTGGTGGAGCATCTAGTAGATTCGAACCACATAGCTTCGTCTGACATACTTTGGGCATGTTGCAAGGAGGGACAGGTCCTTGCAGAGGGACATCATGCTTGGGAGGGTGGAGGGGAAGGCCCTCTATGTGGTGGATTGATTTAGTGACTGGGGTAATCTGGGTGTGTCAGAGGCAGTGCGATTGGCATAGGATAGAGCAGGGTTTAGGGCTGTTGTACTACCTAGGGTCGCTATGAGTCGCAAACGATTCCACGGCACATAACAACAACAACAAGCCATCAGTGGAATTCGTGCTACCACTGCAAAAGTGCCCTGCTGTTGAGTCTAGCTTGACTATTAGGGCAAAAAATGGAGTGAAAAGTGTTGGGGCCTTTATTCTTTTCCTAACCCTAAGAGATTCCAGCAGATCCTCAGCAAACACGAGCCCTGGAGCTAAGATCCCCACTGCGCAGGCTTTCATCTCCATGAACTTGAGGAGGGGGCGAGGCCAACGTGGACAGTGACGAGACGCGTCACGGGCTAGAGGGTGTAGAGCGCAGCTCCTCCGGTCACGTGCTCCGGCACTCGGTCTTCCAGCCAATGAGGGCGCAGACACGGCGCCGAGGGCCCTGCTTGGAGGCGGCGGCCGCCGAGGTCCCTGCGGCGCGGGGACAACAGCGCGGGCTCGGATGGCGGACGGCGCAGCCCTGAGCCCGGTGAGCACAGCGCCGAGTGAGCGGGGGTGCAGGTGCGCCCGCCCGCCGGGCATAGGCCGCTCCTGCAGGCGCTGGGCCGGTGGGGACGGCGAGACCGCGACCAGAGTGGCCTTGAGAAGTGCGGGTTTCCGCCTCCTTTGTGCGCGTCTAGGACAGATCCCAGCCCAGAGCCACCTCCTTCCTCCACCCAGGACCTGTGCCCCTTCGGGTGGGGACTGGGCGGGCCGGCTGGCCCTCCACAAAGGGACAAGGACAGATGGCCGCGCCGGGAGGGGCGTGGGTACAGCAAGGGTGCGGGGTGTGGTGGGCGCAGTGCTGAGATTAGCTGGCAGCCCCCCCCCTTTTTTATTTAACTTGTGATGTTTGCACGTGTTTGGTTTTTTTTTTAAATGAATCCCTAGAATTGTAAAATCTGAATATAAAATCTTTATCTCATCTATAGTTTCCCAATATTTCCCTCCCTTCTTTGGTTGCCGTTTTTCTGGAAATCCAAGGTTCGTTTGCCTGCCACTGAACGAACCAATCTTGGAGACAGGGATTGGAGAGATAAAGCAAAAATTGTATTATATGTCATTATATGTGTGTGTATATATGTGTATGTATATGTATGTATATATACGTGTATGTGTGTGTGTGTGTGTGTGTGTGTGTGTATATGACATGGGGAATAGAAAACTTCAGGGGAGACATACACTAGATTCAGAATGTGGGGAGCCTGTCCTTTTTATTCAGCATTTTTAGAAGGGAAATGTGGCCCTTGTCTTCTGAAAAGGAGGATTCTGCAGATCAGTGGTCACATGCAGTTGGCCTGCAAGGTGGTGTCTCTGGGGTCAGCTGTTGAGTCGTCAGAGGACATGTACTTGAGGTTGTCTTTCAAAATGGCATCTCAGTGGTTTGATGCTTGGTCATCACAGCATGCCTTTTTCTGTCGACTGTCCTCCGGAAGGTCATGCAGAGGCCAGTTTTCTGACACCTGACAGCTTTTTGCAGGCTTAAAGGTTGTTAAGGGGAACACGTGCAGTTGCCTCGGCTGTTCATTTAGGGTTTTGTAATGCCTGCATTGATTGAAGGTTGGTCTTCCTCATCCACACTGTCTCAGATTCAGCACATGGAAAGAAAGGAAAGGAAAATAAGTTTGTGATTTGCAGGAAACTTAGCAGTAATTCAGTTAAAGTTTTCTAATTCATTGAGAAGAAAATCTTTTACTGAGGGTCTTTTACTGTGTTAGTGGAGGAGTGAAGACCAGCTATTGCTTGTAGGTGGCGAGGCAAGCATCAACAGTCAAAAGATTTAAATTTGGTAAGAAGGGCTACATAGGTTTGCAAAGGCCTGCTATTTCCTAAGTGGATGGCCAATCCTTCTTTCTAGTCTGTTTTAGATTGCTCAGAACATTATCTGACAGACAAGCATTTTATAGAGAAGAGCAGATTAAGGATATTTACCAGTAGTAGAATAAACCCCCAGTAGATTCTGTTTTGTCCCCAAACTTGCCAGGTGTGTTTTGAGCTACTCCTTGCCCTGCTCCACCAATATTTATATCTACTCTCTCCTACTCCAACAACAGTCTCCCCTATCCAGCCTTTGATGGGATGGCCTATATGTCAATTTTTCTGGCTTCTGTGTTTCCTAATGCCTCAGGCTGCTGCCAGTTTCTTTGTCTTAGAGCAGTATCTCTTGACTTCAGGAGTTTTGAACTTCTACTCCAGGATTGACTTCTTGGGCCTTAGGGCAGCTTCTCCTCCATGAATGCTTCAGAGAGCAGGACAGTAACTAGGGATGATAGAAGGAGAGTTGATGCCTTTGAGCTTTGGTGCCGGAGAAGAGTATTGAATATACCATGGACTGATAGGAGAACAAACAAGTTTGTCCTGGAGAGGGTGAAGCCAGGCTGCTCCTTGAAGGCAAGGATTCTGAAGCTTCGTCTGACATACTTTGGACATGTTGCAAGGAGGGACCAGTCCTTGGAGAGGGATGTCATGCTTGGGAGGGTGGAGGGACAGTCAGGAGAGGAAGACCCTCGATGAGATGGATTGATTCCATCACTGGGGTAATGGGGATGTCTGAGACCGTGAGATTGGCAAGGGATAGGGCAGGGTTTAGTATACAGGGTCGCTTTGAGTCGCAGGCAACTCCACACAACAGTACAAAGAAGGCTAACTCAAAATTGCCCTTTTAGGCTAAGAGGAATTTAGGCCTGGGTTGAAAGGATTTGCTTTGCTAAAACAAAGACATTCAGTTTGAATTCACCAGCTGTTCCCTCTCCTTCCTCATGATTCACATCTTTGGAAAAAACTCCACTAGATTGTCAGCTATGAGGGAGCTCTGGTAGCCTAGTTGTAAGAAGCTGTGCGGCATTCCAAAAAGGCATGAAGTTCTAATCCACCAGTTGCTCAGTGGGAGAAAGATGGGCAGTCTGCTTCCTTGCAATTAAACTGCCTTTGAAAACCCACTAGAAGGCCAGCTATGAGTCGATTCCAACCCGTTGGCACACAACAAAAACATGCATACGTAACAACAGGCTGATAGGAAAAATGGTCCTTCTATGCCAAAAAGATACGTCTGCCTTTTAAAATATTACGAAAGAAACATTATTTTTCCCTTTTTTCTTGCAGTTGTTGCCACTTGAACTTTCAATCTGAGTGAAATATTACATAGCAGATGGCTTTCAGTTCAGTCATTCATAAAGATGTTTTCTAAAATTCTTTATACACCTCACCTGTTCCTCCTGTGGTTCTTGTTTCGCGTAAGCCTGTCCCATCCTTTCCTGCCTTGGAAGCTTCTTTATCTCCCAGTCTTTCCTTATTGGTCTTTTACTATCTATTATGATGCAGACTTGGTAAAATAAACGGAGACATCTTTCTGGTCTTCTCTGCTTTCACCTGGATTCATCTGTGTCAAAACTTATATCCATCCCTCTACTGTGGCCTCTCCATCTTGAAAATCTGGTAGTTTTCTCTTAATTAACTCCTGCAGCACTTTTGAATTCTCTCCAGCCAGAGTTTATGTATGTGCAATATCAATGATATTGTTCCGACATTCTGTTGCATCACTTTTCTTTGGGAGATGGGTGCAAATGTAGATCTCTTCCCATCAGCAGGTATCTGTCTTCCAAATTTCTTGTCATAGTCTAGTGAACGTGTCCAAGGCTGTGTCTGTATGTTGGAACACAGCAGTTGATAGTCTGCGTGCTTCTATCATCTTCTGTTGTTCCAGTGTTACTGGGAAGGAAAACGCAAGAGTCATCAGCCTGGACTACCTGATCATGGTACTTGGTCATATATTACTTCCTTAAATGGTTTGTTGTTGTTATTAAGTGCCATTGAGTTATAGACAACTCATAGCAACCCTATGAATAAAAGACCTGAACACTTGTATAACTTTCATTGTTTCTCCAAGTTCATAGGGTTTCCAGAGGCAAGCTGTTTCGGAGGAAAGCTATTTTGGAAGTGGATGCCACTCCCCTTTCAAGCTTGTTTTAATTGGGGAGCTCCACCAAACACTGTCCACCATTGGGTAACCATTCTCGCATTTGACACATCAGTGTCACAATATTTAGCATCACAGCAACCATGAGTTACCTCTATACAGCAAATGGACAGGCCAGTGCTATACCACTTGGAACAATGTTTGACCAAAACCAATTAAGATCAAGCCAGAAGGCCGCAGATTAAAATCATCCACCTTTGACTTGGTAGCATAACTTTCTATCCACCAGGCCCACAGAGCTCTCTCTATGTTGTTGTTGTTAAGTGCCATCGAGGTGTAGATGACTCATAGTAACCCTATAAATGAAAGACCTGAACACTTGTATTATTTTCATTATTTCTCCAAGTTCATAGTTTCCAGAGGTAAGCTATTTCAGAAGTTGATGCCATTCCTGCTTCCAAACTTGTTGGGTGAAATGGGTTAGTGTTGAATAGCTCTTTTGGTTCAGTGCTTCTCTAGTCCTTTTCACCTATTGATGCTTCTTGTTTCATTGTTTCAATTATCTCCTTGAACTGGTCTTTAAATATAGGTTGTTGTTGTTGTTAGGTGTTGTTGAGTCGAGTACAAACCATAGTATCTGTAAAAAGAGCAAGGGCCAGGTGGGGATGGCCGTATCTGTCCTTTACTGACTTCACAGAAGGGAACTGTTCCTGTCAATAGCATCAATAACACAAAACTAATTCCCATGAGGTCCGTCATATCCCCTCTCCTCCTATACCTCTTTCTTTTTCAGAATTTTTTAAAAAATTATTTTGTGTGGGTGCACTGTCAAATTGAATCCAACTGGTACAGAAGGAGAATGACCCTCCTTCTCCAGCATACCTCTTTCTACTCATCTCGACACCAGTCTTACTGCTTTGCTGGGTTCACAATCTGATGCAGTATCTTACAGACCACACAGAACCGTGTTAGGGAAGTCAAAAGTTTATACTCCAGAATAGTAGGAGAATGCAGTCTGGATGGATGGCTCCCAAAATGTGCTTGCAGGTACCTCAGCCTTGAGCTTGTTAGCTTTAGGCCAGTGTTACAAAGTTCTCAGTCCTGTCAGTATTGGCTCCCCCCTCCATCCCAGTCTTAAATAGTGTTACAAAGTTCTCAGTCATGTAAATTATAACCTCCTACCCTTAATTGTCCTACAAACTTGGGTAAGGTCTCAGCTCTGTTTCCAGTGGTATAGCGATCACAAGGTAACTCCGTCTCCTGTCAGGTCTCTAGTACAAGGTAACTCCATCTCATGTCAGGTTTCTAGTTCGGCCATATCTGCTCTTTTCCTCATGATGAGGTTTCTTTTCCCGTGGCAGGGAGAAGTCTTTTTTTCCTTTACTGGCAGGGTGAGATCTAAGATCTGTGTCTATAACTGTTCCATTTAATGGCAGGACTAGCCATTGTAGATTGTTGAGACTGGCCAATCACCTTGTGGAATGGTGAGATAGCCAGTTTTGTTGTGGATAGGCTAACATACCCTATTTACATATTCTTGCCTACCCACAAATTCAGATCAGATTCAAATGGCTAGAACACCATATTGAAAGATAAAACTCCACAGTGACCCTATGAACAATAGATCTGAACCTTGTCCTATCCTGTGCCATCCTCATACATTCTAAAACACTTATTAGAGAACCACTTACTGCCATCAAATTGGAAATGACTTATAACTGACCATCCAAGGTAATTTCAGAGCGTGTAAGTTGCCCTGGAGGAGATTCTTCATTCTTCTTCCAGGGAGCAGCTGGTGGATTTGAAACACCTGTATTTGAGTTGGGTGAATGACTCCTTATCCACCAGAGTTCTCTGCATCATAGTGAAGGTGGAAATAAAGCTGGAACTGTACCTAGTCAAAAGGCCAGCAGTACTCTTCCACTGTCCACACATTAGGAAAGATGATGCATTGCTGATCTATTTAATATT